GCTGGCTGGCATGTGGTGCTGGGGGATCGAACTGTGGTCCTTGTGTTTTGCCAAGCTTGTTCCAAGTAGGTGCTTTAGACCACTGAGCCATCTCTCCAGCCCCGAGAAGTCTTTATTTAACTAGCACTTATAGGTGCTTTCTACTTACCAGGCCCTGCTCTGAGGGCTTATGAATATTAGCCCATTGATGTCATATAGAAAAATAATTCCTGTCACACAGGTGACTTGAAGTTCCCTAGCAGGGATAAAAAATCATATATGGGCTGGAGATAGCTTGATGACCTAAGTGTCTGCCTGGCAAGTGTAAGGATCTGGGTTCAATCCCAGGTACCACATGCCATGTTGGGCCTGGAGCCCCAGCCATGCTTAGCAGGGTCACTGAGTCTGGGCCTGGTGGTGCAGCCTCCCCAGCATTGGGGGAGGCTGAGACAGGAGGATCACTACGAGTCCGAGATACATAGTGAGACCGTGTACCAAATGAATGAATAAATAAATAAATAATTAATTTTTAAAAATCATATATAATATAGCCAGAAGGTTGCCATTTTAATAGATGATCAATATGATTAACAAATGAAATAGATTATCTCATCAACAATTAGTTAATAGTGAGATGTCATTGTCATTCACTCCTTCTCCTTCATACCAAGTTTCAAATTAGATATATACTTAAGGAAGACTTCTTTTGAGCTTTGCTTTTGGAGACAGTCTCACCATGTTGCCAGCTGACCTTGAACTCACAATTCTCTCTCCTATGCAACTGGAATTACAAGTGCGCCCGCCAAGCTAGGCCAAGGGTATTGAAAACAGCACATTTCATTCCAACTTCTGAATGCTCAGTAAGCCATATATGTTATTGTGAGTTGAACCATGTTGCCTCAAAGTTCAGATATTGCACTTGTAATTCGCAGTAGCTCCAAATGGCACTTTGCCTGGAAACAGAGGCACTGCAGAGGTTTTTAATGAAGATGAGATCCTGCAGGAGTAGGATGGGTCCCATACCAGTATGTTCTTACCAACAGGGCTACTTTGGGTGCAGACATGCAGAGGGAGAGCACTGTGAAGATGGAAAGAGTTCAGTGTGATATGTGTATGAATCAGAAGACACCAAAGATTGCTGGCAAGCAACAAGACCAAGAGAAGGGCATGGAACACATTCTTCTCTCTGCTCTTGGAAGGAACTAGCCCTGCTAGCACCTTGAATCTGTGCTTCAAGCCTCCAGAATTTGTGTGTGTGTGTGTGTGTGTGTGTGTGTGTGTGTGTGTGTGTGTGGCTCAGCCCACCCTGGAGGCGGGGCTGGTGCAGCATGTAGTGCTAGGCATCAAACCACAGTCCCTGTGCGTTTGCCTAAGCTTGCCTAAGCAGGCGCTTTAGACCGCTGAGCTATCTTGCTGGCCCCCAGAGCTTTAAGAGAATCCACTTCCATTGTTTAAGCCATTCCGTGTAGGGTGCTTCATTACTGCACCCAGGGACACGTTGTGAGTAGCTGTCCGGTTGGAGAGTGCAGGAAGGGTGGCTCTGTGTTTCTTCCCAATTATGGATCAGGA